CCTATACACTTCTCATCCCCGTCAACTACATGTGCCTCCCTTCACAGCCACCCCCTACTCTCACACACCCTGTTGTCCACAAAAATTGGATTAATGGTATGCAACAAGCCAGTAATTACACAGTCGAGAGAGATGTTATTTATTTCAGAGTTGCAGAACCCTGGGTGCGTGGTGGTGTTCCACAAATCGAGCACACCAACCATCAAAACTTTTAAGTATTTATACATTTTAGCAAACAAAGGCATTAGTGTTCATTGGCTTCAAGTTACATAGGTCTCTTATTAATTGGTATTCTATCTTCCACTGGTTAATGATTCTCTGGCTTCTCATATCAATTAGTCCACATGCTCAGTCTTTCTCTTCTTTTGGGTCAGTGGGCTGTGAGCCAGTGGTCATGATCGCCTCCTGCTGGAATTACCTTTTACCCCATTAGAGCTGATTTCAGCATAGTTGCCGAGTTGGGTTTATTGGTTTCTTTCTTATCTCGGGAGTTCTGCCAGATGCCCTTGTGGCCTGTAAATTCTGCGTTCTTTGTGTTTGCTATCAGTGGTACATCCTTCTCCTCAGGCTCTGTTAACCTCCCCCTATATCTGAGATCCTTGAAGCATGTCAAGCCCTAAAGCTTAACGAGGCAATTCTACCGACAAGTAATTTGTCTTTCTAACACCTGGACATCAATCAGAGATGGCTTGCCTGCTACCTACCTGTTTCACTGATTAAATCTCCCTTCTCGCTGATTAGGCTTGAAAGTGTACGAAGACCAAACGTCCAAGACCATCCTTTCTTAAGCAACTGTTTACATTTTCCCCGGTTTGAAATGCCCTCCGCACCCATTCACACATGGTTCCCCTCACCCCTCCCCGCCCCCACCATTCCACCTTCCCGGCCGCCGCTTTCCCGCGCGCGGGCGCAGTCGCGCGGCGCCCCCTCCCGCCGCTTCCCGACAGGCCGCGCGCCGGGAGCGCCGGGCCGCAGCCTCGCGCCGGTTCCTGCCCTCGGGCATCGTCCCTTCCCGTCCCGCCGGGCCCGCGCCCGGCCCCGCCATGCGCCACAGCCTCACGCAGCTGCTGGCGGCCTCGGCCGGCGGGACCAGCCCCTCGGGTGCCGTGTGGCCGCTGCCCGGAGCGGGGCAGGCCCCGAGAGGGCGGGATGTCGGCGGGGAGGGGGACCCGGGCCCCGCGCGGCCCAAGCCCCCGGGCGCCTCGGAGCCGCGGCGGCAGGAGAAGGAGGCCGAGGCGCCCAGCGGCCCGCTGGAGGTGTGGGAGCAAGAGGACTGGTTCCCGGGGCTGGAGCTGGGAGACCTGCTGGAGGCGGCCCGGCCGGACTGGGACCTGGAGGCGGAGCTGAGCGGCTGTTTCTGTGAGGAGCCGGAGCCGCTGCCCCCGCCGGGCCAGGGCTCGCGGCCAGCGGTGCCCGGGCGGCGGAGCGGCGGGGCCGGCAGCCGGCTGAAGGCGGCGGCGGCGGCGCGGCTGAACCGGCTGAAGAAGAAGCAGTACGTGCTGGGGCTGGAGAGCCGCCTGCAGGGCCTGGCTGCCGAGAACCGGCAGTTGCGGGACCGCAACCGCGGCCTGAGCCGCCGCCTGCGAGAGCTGGAGCGGGAGAGCAGCTACCTGCGGGCCGTGCTGGCGAACCAGAGCGCGCTGGGGCAGCTCCTGAGCCGCCTGGCCGGGACCCGCGCCGGCGGGCTGCAGCTTAGCACCAGCCTCTTCAGGGACACGGGCAGCCCCCGCCGCCAGCACCAGCACCTCCAGCCCGCTGGCGAGAGCAGCGACCACGACTACGCCCTGCCCAGCTCCCAGCCCCGCGGCCTGGAGGAGGCGGCCGTGGGGACTGAGGCGGAGGAGGAGTGGGCGGCCCCCGGCGGGATCTGCCTGCACGTGGACCGGGATCAGGTGTCGGTGGAGTTCTGCTCCATCTGTGCTCGGCGGGCAGCGGCCTCCTTCAAAATGTAGGGTCAAGTACCTGCTGCAAGTACTCGTGGGGTTCTCACCCCTAAGGGCCTCGCGTCGCGGCGGAGGAAACAGGCGATGGTGCGGAGGAAAAGAATCAATACAGTGGTGATGGGGTGGTATTGGGGGAGATGCAGAGAAGGGGGACCTGGCACTTAAGTGGCCAGGGTAGCAGAAAAAAATCCTCTCGAACGGCACGTTGGGAGCCAGACGGTGGCCTTGGTTCAAGGTGCTGTGAATCTGGCGTGTGGACGGTAGTGGTGTGAGCCTGTTTGGCTTTAGGAGTCGCGCAGAGCTGTGTGCAGCAGTGCGACAGTGGTCGTGCAGACTGACACGCGTGGTGCACACGCGGAGGTGCCGCCGGAGCCCGGTCGCAGCACTTGGGTGAAAAGATCATGCCGACCCGATGCATGAAGGTGTGCTCGGCTCCGCTTCGCAGTAAAGATAACGCTGACAACCCGGTCTTGAGTCAGATAATGTCTAGCCTGCTTTCCTGAGGAGCCGAAAATGCTTGCTTAGAAAACCAAACCAAAAACTCCATCGTCACTGGACAGACTTAAGAAAATAGTAATGATCGGCAAAAGAAAGCATGCATATAAAATTGTACTGCATCTAAGTTATACATTACTATTAAAACCTCTCTGACAGTTTCTCTTTTAGGTGCTTGCCCTGCCAGGCTCCGTTGTGTAGGGGTTAAAGAACAGTCGTTTTCCACCTCGCAACCTGGTAAGGATCAATATATTCCCATAATGCGGTATCAGACAGCTTGCTTTGCTTATCCCAGTCTCTTGTAATGACTGGTTCAGGAAATAATTTCTCTGGTCCTTGGCCTACTCTGCCGAAATGTTTCTAGCTCTCAATGGTAACTAATAGTGAAAGCTACAATCACATTGTTCTCATTAGCTGTTTTCCTCTTTTCCTTTTTGAAACTGATAACATTCACTACATAGCCAACACACAGCTACATTTGGAATTAAAAAAATGCTCATGCCATTTGAAATAGAAATTTTCTATTAAACCAAATATCTGATGAGCTGAAAAGGGAAAATATGCTAATAAAGGGGATGTGCATTTATAGCTTTAATCACAGGGGACTGTCCCAAAAGTGTAAGTACATTGCTTTTTAAATTAATTTAAAAAAAATAAATTTGTGACCTGTTAGTTTAAAATACTGTCCATTGTTAGGGATGCACAGTACCTTTCAAAAGTCCTTCTCTAGCTTGCTCTAATTAATGATGCAGGGTTATGCCTGATTAAACAGAACCTGAACACTGGTTAAATCTGTACAGTGGAATCCTCATGTAGAGGAGTCAGTCTTTTGCATGGACCTCTAACGAGAACTGGGTTTGAAGAATGCAGTGCAT